ATGAACATAAGGCATTCATTTATTATCAAAAATCCGCAGAGATGGGAAACGCCGATGGGATATATAATATTGGATACTATTATCTTTATGGACTTTTAGTTGAAAAGAACAAAAATAAGGCATTCATTTATTATAAAAAACCTGCAGAGATGGGATCCATTGAAGGAATATATACGGTTGGATATTGTTATCGGCATGGAATCGGAGTTGAAAAGGATGAATATAAAGCATTCATTTATTATAAAAAAATCTGCAGAGATGGGTTATGCTAGCGGAATGTATATTGTTATCGAAACGGAATTGGAATACAAATAGATTTGCAGGAGGCTAATTATTGGCATAAAATGTCAATAGTTTTTATTTTAAACTCTACATAAGTATAGGTGTTGTGCATGAAGTTAGCATGTGTCTGAAGCTGCAACTTCAGGAACCTGAAATTACACCTGCCTAAAATTACTAGCTAAGCACGCTAGATCAAATTTCAATCAGGCTGGTGTCAACTTTAGGTGCAACATACATAACTACCTAATTTTATATGTTTTCGGATAATTATTAGGAAAGAAATATGATAATGAGTAAGTAAATTAATGTTATCATTTGATTTACCTTAAGACTGTTCAAATTTACTAATTAATAATATATTATAGCTTCAGGTGAGTGGAAAAATGAAATTTCTAATATTGATGATCGTATAAAAACATTATTGATTGAAAATGAATATCCATTGTAATGGATTTCATATAAAGAATTTATAAAAATAGGAGAAGGTGGGTTTGCAACAGTATTTTTTGCAAAATGGCTAAATGAAAAACAAGTTGGAGACATGTTGTACTTAAATTACTCCGCGGATCAAAATCTTATAATGAAGAATTTATAAAAGAGGTAATTTTATGGTTTACATTTATTATTTCCTTTACAATTTATAGACATTTACATATTAAGTAATTTGTTTTAATATTAAAGTTAAAAGTATATTGCGATATTAGTTCCAAACATCCTTTATTTTTAAAATGCTATAGTATATCAAAAGATGATTCTTCCAAAGATTATGTTCTTGTTTTAAATTACGCGGAAATGGGACTTTTGCGCCAAAACCTTCACTCTGTATTAAAAATGAAACGGAAGGATAAATTAGTTTTATTGCATTGTATTGCTTCAGATCTGCAAATAATTCATTCTCGTTCATAAGTATCATTCGAATTTGTCGTTTTGGTAAAAACACTTACCATCTCATTTTTGGCCGATGAGGAAATTGGTAATTGCTCCGGAGAATCGATGGTTATTCTCTTTGATTTGATTTCCTCGAAATCACTTCTTAATTTTGCTACTTTAGTTTTAAGTTCAGCATTCTCAGAAACAGTATCTGCTCTACTTTTCTCTAACTCCTCAATTCTGCTCTTAAACTCTACATCACGTCTAGAATTCTCTGCCTCAGATTCGCGTTTTCATCCTCGAGTGTATTTTTCTCTTTTCTATTCGTTCCAATTCTAGCTTCAATGAATCTATTTCGGATAAGTACATAGATTCATCTCTGTGATTGCATGCTTAATTTATATAACTTTATCAGAAATGTTCGAAAAAGATTTTTACTGCACACGCCTTGAAAATTTTTTTTTTTGTTAGTTAACGCCTTTAATTTAAATGACATCCTGACCAACGGTCAGGAACTCACCGATCACTTTTGCCAAAATTTTAAAAATTCTCGATAATATGCGAGTTAATAATATACATTGATATCAATATATTAAAATAAATTCACGAAATACACACGCAAAAGTAAACACGACTATGTATGCGAAATCGGCCATCAGGGGCTAGCTTTATTAATATTTAATAAAGTACAGAATAAAATACAAAGCAATACATTATAAAAATTTGTGCATTTATACAGACTTTTTAAAACAATTCGTTATTCATAAAACTATATTTATTGATTAGTCAAGTATAACAAATTTGTATATATTTACTAAACATTATTAAAAACATATTTATCTAAGAGTAAAATAAAAATGAGCATTCGTTAGTTGATTATCCAGGTCACACCGCGTGGAGGTCAATGCTCGAGAGATCCGTGTACCACACTTCGGTGGATTTGGATTTAAGGAAAAAGCTAAGGTGTAAAAAAAGGTTTATGTACAAAAAACTTAGAATATGTTCCTTCTGCCATTAGAAAAAAATTTATAGACGAAAGTGAGTAAAAACTCCCTTCGACTATTCATAACCGCGTTAAGAACATAATGAGAAATTTATTTGACAGAAGGATCACGCTTTTCTACCCACAGAATTAATGTTATTATTAGAAACATCAAGGGAAATTAGTGCTGTGTTTACATAAAGAGTATTTTCGAGTGCTTTTACACCTTCACAATCAATATCATTACACAATGCCGATAGCAACACTTCCTCCAATTTCGCGAGAATATCTTCGCACGACGGTCTCATGTGCGAAGATGACGATGTTATCTAAAAAATTTTAATTCATTAATAATATATTTTATTTATAATAATATTTAACGTGAAAATAATTAAATTACTTATGGAATTTTTATTTGAGTAGTTTTTGCATTGGATCACGAAGGTGAACCCGTCGACTTGGCAAGTAATATCTTTACCCTCATCACCCGGTCCACTATAGAATGTATAATAAATAGTGAATATTTGCTGTCATCAACCAACAAAAAAAACATGTCCGGAATAGTCTACGGTTTCATGTTTTAATGCCAGAGTGTATCCTCTTCACTAACTTCCCAGTTGCACACTTTCTAATACAGAAAGTGCCTCTCTAACGCAGAGAGGGCCAATGTTTTGCTTCAGGAATATCGATAACTGATAGAGAAGAACGTTCAACTATCAAAATAGTTGGTCACGAAGAGCTTTCAATTCTCTATCAGATTTCATTGCACCGATGTGGCAGCGTAATTTCAGATACACTATGACTCAGCTAAGTAATCAATAAGAAAACTCACCCTGTATGAATATATTAAGCCGATCGTTTTTAATTCCTCTATAATATCCCACTCGAGGATATTTCCCAGCATCGTCGGAGAATACCTCACAAGAACGGAAATAGCTTCACTTTCGGTTGTGCATATCGACCGATTTGGTTTAACCCCCAAAATTAGCCAATCATGATTGAAGTTAAAATTTTGAATCCATAAATAAGTGTATATAGAATAATGCAATATCTACATGTTTAATTATTAGCTGAAAGTAAGTTAAAAGGTCGTTTTTCTCAAAAATTGCATCCGAATTCGCCCTTACCCATTATACAACCGATCAAACAATGACAAACCGATCGTTCACTACCCGCAAATACCCGAACGCTTCAACGACTAGTGATAGTGCTTTCTTTACGGCTTAGAATAGCTGTTTTTTAGTATTTACTGCTTATTTATCTCATATAGAGACTAAAAAAACAGTTTTAATGAATGTTTCGTATGTTATTCTTCATGGTATAAGTTTGTGTAACAGTTTATCGAAAAAAAGACCCCTAAAAATCAAATCGAGGTCTGACTGTTCGAGAAGTTTCTAGTGGTGCGCCACAATCGGCACAGCTTGGTCAAAATTAGCCATGACTGAGCCATTTGTACTGATTGTAAATTTATCAAATTTATCGAAATTTCCTTAGATCCGACTCTTTCACACAGACATTTTCTTTATTTATTCTTATCGTTATCCTTCTTTCATACTATCAAAATGCCGCCAAAAAAACAGCAACAATCAGAAAAATCAAAACAAAAAGAGAAGCAAAAAATTGTTGAAGACAAAACCTTTGGCCTGAAGAATAAGAAAAAGTCTGCAAAGGTTCAGCAGCAAATTAAGCAGATTCAAAATCAAGTGATGACTTCGGGAAATAGAAAGGTTCAAGTACGTTATCGAAAAAAAAACGATATTAATGTTCGCCTAGTCAGATTAAAATTATTTTTAGCGCATTGAAATATCTTTTCATTAATAAATCTTCGATTTATATTAATGCAGAAAGAAAAGGAAGCTGAAAAACAAGCACTCGCTGATAAAAAAGCTGCCGAACAAAAAAAAAAGGAAGAGCTTGCTGAGCTATTTAAACCGGTTCAGACACAAAAGGTACCGTTTGGCGTAGACCCTAAGACTATTCTTTGTCAATTTTTCAAAGGTGGACAATGTCAAAAGGGGGACAAGTGTAAGTTCTCCCATGATGTGAATGTAGAGAGAAAAGTTCAAAAAATCGACCTATATACTGATGCAAGAAACGAAGAAGAAAAGAAGGATGGTATGAAAGATTTTATAGCTTTATATTTATTCATTTGTCGTTTAGGTTCATATTGAAATAGTTCTTAATGCATAATTTAATTGTACATTAATTGTGGAAACGATATTTCTATTTAAGATACAATGGATAAATGGGACCAAACGAAGCTTGAGCAAGTTGTCACATCGAAACATGGAAATCCAAAAACAACTACAGACATAGTATGTAAATACTTTTTGGAGGCCATTGAAAATCAGAAATATGGTTGGTTCTGGGAATGTCCTAATGGAGGTGAGAAGATTCAAAATTTGTTCGTATTAACATTTTTCATCCTAGTCCACTATATTCGTTTATTATTGATGTTGGTATTGGAATTCATTATATTAATTTACATTCGCTTGAATAATATTACAGGAAAGAATTGCAAATATAGACATGCTCTTCCGCCTGGATTTGTACTAAAGACTAAAGCGCAGAAGAAAAATGAAGAAGAAGAAGCCAATCAAATTACTCTCGAAGAATTTTTGGAAACAGAGGTTAGTTACAACTATATAAAGCTTTTTATGTGCGACAGATATTTATCTAACTATAATTCATCGACACGTCGTGAAGCGCCATAACTTGGGCCAAAACCTCACACCTGTCACGCTTGAAAGTTTCGCTGAATGGAAGAAAAATCGTAAAGCTAAATTTGAAGCTGAGGAAGAACTTAAACGTGCTGCAAAAGAAGCTGCTTACAAAGCTGGCAAAGCACAAGGAATGTCAGGTCGTGATCTATTCACGTTTAATCCTGATCTTGTCAATCATATTAATGATGATGATGATGGCGATGAGTTCGATTTATCTGGATATCAGCGTGATGATAATAATAATAATAAAGAGGATGAAAAAGACGATGAAAATCTAGTACATGGGCAGAATGATGATGATGATGGTGATAATACTACCTGCGGTGAAGGCAAGAGTAGTGTTGAAAATGATGTTTCACACAAAACGGACAATTCTTCTTCATTAGTCACTGTGGATGATGTTGAAGTTAAAGAGGACCTATTTGCGGAGGAGAATTTAGATGATTTAGACGACGATGATGAATAAGTCAAAATACCAAGCATAGTTAGTTATATTATATATTTATATACAAAAAGGCAATAAAACTAATGCGCCGATGAAAACATTGTGGATAATCTTTAGTAGGGATGAATCTAATTGTGTTAGCAGTGTGTTAGTCTCAAAAATGGACATGACCTTTTATTATACAGTCATTAAATTTGAATATATTAATATATTTCAATTTTTAATCAATACACATTATTTATTACTATTATGATCTAAATTTATATTTGCATCTGCAGGACATTACACCGCTACTAACTACGTGTTTATAATTAAAATATTGTTATAGATTATGGTGTTTAATTTACTAAACTACTAAAATCTGCTCATTTCCTTTTTTTGATAAGGTGACTATTTCACTTTGGGGTTTTATCAATCAGATCCGTAACGTATCGCATCTACTACGACAGATTTTTTACAGCAGGATTCCGAGTTCGTTATAATACACATGTGTTAAATTATATAATCCTGTATTAAATAGTAATTAATTTTTAATATAACATTGTAATTTATATAAAGAATAATAATTTTATTATTATCTATACTGATAATTTACTTGTAAATCAAAATTTGTCTTAGAATTAATTTTTAATTTTAAAAATATATAGAATAAATGTATTTCCGTTACATGTAACAACCCGATAGTAGTAAAGGTTTGGGTTATACGAATTTTTTAGTCATGTTTATTGGCTGTACTATTACAAATAAGCGTGTAACATGTTACCAAAAAATATACACCGTATTTTCGCATTTTGGCCTAAATTATGCTTAATTCGGGCCAAAATTCGAAATAACGTTCATGAACGTTATTATGTGAAAATACGGCATTTAAAAAATTTTTTAATAAAATTGATAAAATACCTAGCATTCAGGGTTAGAATTAAGGTGAAAGGTTTTTGGAAGCGTAAAACATTTTTACTTGGAACACCCTACACCGGTTAATTTGCTAGTTTTTGAGATAATTTGGGCTAGGTGCTGAGAAAAGGGACGAAATTGACAAAAAAATCTTTATAATAAATCATAAGAAAATGCACGCTTTAAAGAGCTATACTGCAAAATTTTAATACAACTACTTTTGTGTTTTAAGTAAAAAAATGTTTCCAATCTTATTTTTATTGATTTATATCCATTTATTCACAGGTGTAAAACACATATATAGATGCATTTTAGTATAAGTTAAATTTTATTTAGGTTTAAAACAAATTTGGTTTATATATCGCTATATAATTAATAGTATTTTTGCTAATTTTAATAATATATTTTTAGTTATAAATAATTGCTTATAATAAGATTAATAACTTTAAAAAAAAATTTTTTTTTAAAAAAAAATATAAGCAAAAAATAATATTGTACATATTATATAAATTACAGTGTAAAAATAAAAAATTATAAACTTGTTTATAAACATAATAGCAATAATAGAGCAAAAAATTCTATATAAGAAAATTCTTTTGAATTATAAAAATAAAAAGTAAATTTAAACCAAGAGATGTTAAACATGTTTCACTAAATATTAAATAACTCAAAAACTTCTTCATGCCAACTTCGATTTAATTTATTGAGTAAAAATATTTAACATCTAATTTTACATAAAATTATTAAACTTTATAAACATGCTTGGATATTCCTGAACCTTGAAATTGGCAAAAAAAGGCCTTGAACATCAAAACAGCACAATATAGACTAAACCGGTTTAGCCGTATCAAATTGTCGGCTCGACTAAGCTTATTTATAAATTTTTAGTCTACTACAATCACTCCTCTTGGACTTTTTTCATACCA